AATCCAAACCTCACTCATATTAATTTTCAATAGCTATCCATTATAAATTCAAGAGTAACGTATCATGATGGGCTTGTTTATTAATTAATGACATGAAATTAATAGGTCATGTTAAACACATCTTCCCAATTTTTATTTATTTATTTACAACATTAATTTTCCTCCGTCCAAATTAAGTTAGAATCAATTATAAATCGTTATTAATCATATATAAGTGTAATCCCCCCCCCCCCCCCCCGCGACACTTTTTCATAATTTTAGTGTATATTTAACTATTTCCTCCTGTCACTTTTGAATGACTTTCTAGTCGATTAAAAACAGTTCAAAATAATTGTCATTTTTATTGTTATTATATATATCAAGAAAGCTTTTTTATTATTATTTTTATTTTTTATGAACTTACTGTTGCTATAGTAAATTGTGAACAACTTTGTATATTCACTAGTAAATTTTTCAATAATTGTGGGACACATTATAAAATCATTTTAAAAGAACAGGAGGAAGTAAATTATTTGGGTGATTGATAAATATATACTATTTGTTACCAGTTTTAATAGGGTTGGCGTGATATTATTAGATTGAAATTATTTATGGCGATTTATTATGAATTACTGTTTTATTGAAAATACATTTGTGACACCACCAAAATTTTTTTATATAAGCGGCTTAAATATTACTTGATTTATTCGTCACAAATTATCTGTCATATTTCTCTTTTATATGTTTGTTAAAAAAAACATTAATCAAAAGAAAACTTTAATTATTTTACTATCATTTATAATATGATATTATTAGAGAGTTAATTTAACATGATGGAGAGAGTAATATTCTCATACTGGTCCACTATTTATTGCACCTTAATATATTTGTTGAAATTATGATGGTTGAGTTTTCATATCTGATTAATTCATGTGATAATATATGGCTGCAAAGGTTGGTGGAAATCAACAAAAGGATAATATAAAGGCAAAGTTACAAAATTTGATCGCTCGATCAAAAATATTAATATCTATTAATTATATACTAGAACTTTTGGTTTCTAATTACTGGTAAACTAATTATATATACTAATTATACATTGCATTTGCAGTGTGTAATTGAAGTAAAATTCAATTTATATATTTAAAAATATGCAGTGTATAATTGATGAATAACCATTAAATTGTGTATAGTTGGTGTATATTCATGATATATGAATTATACATTTATTATACACTAATTATACACCTATTATCATTGCATTCACCTTCCCCAAATATATATATATATATATATATTCTTGATTGCTAATTGGATTAATTATTCTTGATTTTCTTAATTAAATTGTACTATGTTATTAGTCCTTTATAGATATGTAAGAAATATATATGTTATATTTGAATTGTTTTTAAAAGTATACTTTCCTCGAAATATTGAAGTGACAATATAAGTCTTAACATAATATATGAGTAATGACATGATATAGCGGTCAATAATTCATAAAAAATGCCATAAAATTAATTATTTTTTGTATCATGGTGAATAATATTTCTTAAAAAATGAATTTCTTCACACTAAACAACATGAAGATCGTGTCGCATTGACGCAATATTATTATTATTATTCTTAAAAATATATAATTTTATGATTAAAAAAATGCCATAAAATTAATTATTTTTTGTATCATGGTGAATAATATTTCTTAAAAAATGAATTTCTTCATACTAAACAACATGAAGATCGTGTCGCATTGACGCAATATTATTATTATTTTTCTTAAAAATATATAATTTTATGATTAAAAAAATGCCATAAAATTAATTATTTTTTGTATCATGGTGAATAATATTTCTTAAAAAATGAATTTCTTTCATACTAAACAACACCAAGATCGTGTCACATAGACGTAATATTATTATTATTTTTCTTTAAAATATATAATTTTATTTAACACTCAACTGTTAGAATCATGAATGCAGATCTATCATCTACCTATGGATTTTATCGTAATCAATTTCGTGTTATTTTAATTTTTTTTTATCTAATTCCTATTAACTACACAAGAAAACAAGAAAGTCAACTATGCATGTACTAGCATTTACTATTAGTTTGAAGTTTGATTAATAAAATGATTATCATGGAAAAATGGAATTGTATTGAAGAGTTTTCTAGTTTGTGAGTATAGAAAAAATCTTGTTATGAGTGATTAGAAATGGACTATTGTAATGTGTGAATTCTTAGTTAATCAGATTTCAATGTAGATATTCGACATCAGACATGAAATCGAAAAAAGAAGAATCTATCTTCGCATAATATTATAATTATTTTTGGAGTTGTATTGTAAATTACCTCTAAACTTAATTGATTTAGTAGGAAAAACAAATAGAAGAACTTCCTTAGCCAATAAATTTTAATTAAAAAGATTTTTACATGAATTATGATGAAAATGCATGTACATTATTGTATCATAAAGGATATAAAATGAGTTATAATGGAAGGGTTGAAGTTGATGAATTCCTATGTCGACTTCAAGTTAATATTATAATAATAATTGAGTTTACAATCAACTACTTAGTTAATTTCATAATATGCATAAAAATCACTAAATTTTTGTGAACCAATATACAAACTTCTACCTCCGCCCCTACTTATAATAACTTATAGTATCTTGGAATTTCCTTAATTTTATTGTGAAATGTTAAAAAGATTGAAGTGAACAACCAACATGTACATAAATTATCATAGAAGCCATTGATCTATTTTTTTTATAACAAAAATATTATTCAATTTGTCCAAGTATCATAGAGGGTTGTGACACTTAACATATTAAATTCAAAGTAATATTTAAACATGCAATTTGAAGTCATAATTTCAAATTCCCAATTGAAGAAATATCAACAAAAAAAAAAACTCACAATACAACTAGTCAATAAATTTGGTAGTAATTAAATCTGAATTTACTATAATTTCCTATGCAATATAATTTTAGGTAAAGGTCATCATGGCAAGATATACATGAATTTGAGTTAGTTTGGTATTAAGCAATTATATATGAGCAATTCAATGTTGACCTAATTGTTGTTTAATTGTCCTCGTTTAGTCATTAGCACCTACCTTTAATTCAATTGCAATGTCTATAGTAATTAGTACATTCAATTGGAGATAATTGTGAGACCGCTTATGCCAGGTACTTATTTTAGAGCCTCGATTAATTTGTATTAGGAATTTTTATACAAATAGTCAATTCAGGGATTATGTCTACTTTTCCAATTCTATATAAATAGATTTTTTTATATATATATTATATACACTGATTGTACACATATCATACATAACTATTTTTAGTTTGATTGGTTAACTTATGGCTATTTAGGTTAATTCTCCTCATGTAGATTGATGTTACGTAAAGCCCAATTTAAAAAGAAATTGCTTCCCGACTAAATTGAATCTACATTGTAATTACTTCAATATAAAAATAAATTAAAACCGAAATTTTCATATTCAATCCGAACGATCCAATCTTCCATCATAGTTGTAATGCAAGAAATTTTAAGCAGGTGACCGTGACATAAATGAATTATCTGACATTGTAAAAAAGTACTATTTTTTTTAAGCACTGGATCTTGGGGTGACTTGTTTCAGATACCATTAATTATCCATTTATTCTGTTTTTTTTTTTAATATTATTTTTTAAAAAAATAATAATAATTCCGTATAAGTAACTCTAATGAAATTATGACTTTGTCTGTATGATTTATTGTTTCTCAATTTGGTTTCTGCACCCACTTTTAATTTCGAAGTAAAAGTTCTGAAAATTAAAAATTAAATATTGAGGTGTCAATTATGAACCTCTTTAATTATACCAATAAATAAATAGCGGTCAGTGGACCCCACCTATTTTAAGTGAAACAGCTCTGTCTTTGTAATAATTATAAAAATTTGATAAGTTGTGTACTTTCAATAATAATATTTGAGTCTTAATTGCAATTAATGAAAATATGATGTTACTATTTTCTGTTACTTCTTACTCTTATACTATGTTGTAATTTTTTAAAAATCGTTAGTTTTAAATTATTATTATATTGTGTACTGTAATTTAATTATCACATTATTTTATTATCGACATTGTTCTTTTTTTTAGGCGCTATACTTGAGTTAAGGTCTTTTAAAAACAATCTTCTTTCTTTCACGAGATAATGATAAAGTCCACTTAGTAAAGTTTCACGAGGCATATTATTATTGTAGTTGTTTTATATTGTTTGTTATTTTAAAATTTTAATACATTACAAAACATAAAAACATAATATTAACAATGTGCGAGATTTTAATAAATGCATTAATATAATTAAAAACACAATTATATGTTTGAGGAGAACATCTATGCAAGCAAGTAATTTTCTTTTTAAAATTATGTGATACAGTAATCTCAAGAAACTAAGTTTATAATTCTACCCTTATTTAATATTTTTTAGATAACTTTTCAATAAATGATATAAATCCATCTTTTATTTTTAATTTGTTTGTTGAAAATCTTTTTCAAAATCACATTTTATAGAGTAATCCAATGTGAGAATAATTAATCAATGTATAAAGTAATTACAATGAACATTAAATACTTATTAGTTTTCCTAGATTGATCAAATATCTATTTTCAAAACTAATTAACTATCAAGGGTATAATAGGGAGAATATTATAATTTATGCATTGATTTTATGAAACGATAAGTACTATAGACCAACTATATTTAGTAAGGATGACATATAAAAAGTAACGGAGAGAGAATATTTTAGCACTATTCTTATAGTGATAGCCAAACAACCTCTTTCACTTTGTTAGATCACTTCCAACTACACATCAAGGCAAGTTATAAGATTGCAGTGAAAATACAGTCTAAACCAATAGGAGATAACCCACAATGATAAAATATATGAAAACTGCAATGCCACATAATAATGAAAAAATTGCCATAAAAATGGAGAACGCGCGATCTTATTTTTGAAATTTTGGTGTTGTTTGCAATTAACTAAAAACAACTATGTAGCATTCATAAGATAATACAATTCTTAGATAGAATCTACAACAATTCACTAGAACGTTCATGTTTTGACGATCCTTGGATGCGCAAATTTGTGCTGTACCCATCTCTCAAGGATCAAACTCATAACGTTGCACTGAGAACTTTGTGAAGTAGATGGTATCACTCAGGAAAGTCGATCCAGATTTGAATGTTTCAAAGATGCCCGCGCCATCTGAATCTGCACCCCGATTAAACAAAATGTCAATTCAAATGAAACGAGGTGAAACAGAAAAGGTATTAGACAGTGCATGTAAGTGAAAATACTAGCATTGTCTGAGAGGCAAATATGTGAAAAATGTCGAACAAGAACTATTCTCTACCTGTATGTATATCCATGCAAGATTCTTTTTGATCCAGTCTCTCCCTCATCATATACTATCTCAATCTGCATCGAGAACAAACGAGTTAAGCATATGTAGAAAAAGGACCACATGGACATTATGAAGCTACGACAGGAATGCCAGATTTGAGAACTCCACTGGCATCTTAAACAAAAATGACATAGCAACATTTAGAAAGAAAAACAACTGATTATAATGCAACATACACTTTGAGATGGTTCCCATCAAAGCTTCAAAGTGATATTCTCACAATACTTAGTGACAAAGTTTTGACTATTAGCATACAACTGTCAAACTAAAAAGCATGCAAGTGAATCTGTGCAGGCTCCTCTACATAAGTTGTATGTACAAAACAAAGTAGTGACGTCTATCTTATTCTCTTTTTTCTCTTCCTTCCCGTGAATTCTTTTGTCGTTCAGAATTCTGCCAGCTAAAGAACTATATTATAATAAATATCATAAGACAGGATGCCAAAGAGTATAAGCCAACAATGTTCACAACTAACCAGATCCTTTTTTGTCAGCATGACAAACGAGACTCATATTAACTATAAGCCCCTAAAACATCACTAACACACCACCAGAAGAAGCTAAAAATGGGGCACATACTCTGCTGTACTCATGCCCTACATGTCAGTCAAGTGATGTGTAAATGCTCACAGGTTTACATGAAAGAGAGATCTATCTTTGTGTACATGGACAATTAAAGCACCATCTCAATATACATCAATTTTTCTTTCTTGATGCTGGACAAGACCAAGGTGCCACAATGTATCAGTTAAGTGACAATTATAAGGAATATTAAGGTTAAAACTTACCATTTATCTAAGCATAAAAGGAGCTCAGAGCAATTGGACAAGATCTAATCATGAGACAACTAGCAACATTGACAACATTGGCATGGAATTACAGCTGTCTTATAGTGCCACACCAATTAAAAAATCAAAATCTTTCTCACAAGTAAACGCCTTTGCTTTTGTTATGGGCTATTTTGCTGTGTTCCTTAGATAAACAAACCTAGATAAGTAAAGCTACATTTAAGACAGTAAAGCCAGCAACACATTTTTTTGCCAAGACAGTAAAACTAATACATAATGCACAAATGAACAATCAACTCTATTACAGGACACGACAAAGAAACGAGAAACAAAAAAAAAGAATCAATGCAATGTACGTACGCTCAACTCTAAATATTGAAGACAGTATTATGTCAAAATCTACAAACAGAATAGCTGGAAAGAACCCAAGAAAATGGTCAACCGACACATTAGAAAGTCAACAACAACAACATACCCCAGTATAGTCCTACAAGTGAAATGCAAATAATTGACATACTAAAGAAGTGAAAAATGCAAATATAACTTATATGCAGATTACCCCCTTCCCCTTGACCCCTTGCTATGCCTAGGAGGAGGCCCCTCCTGCTCCTCTTCTTCCCACCCTACAAAAGCTGGTGGAGGAGATGGTTCGTACCTTGAAGGCTTCCTTTTGAAGTGCCGATCATCATCACTGCTCTCATAATCCACACTCGCAGTGGCACTCTTCCTTGATCCAGTAGTCATTTTGTGCTCTCCATGATACCCATTTGTTGTGCCACCCCTGTGGCTCGCCGAAGAACTCACTGGCATTTCACTTGAGGATGGCACCTTTCGCTTCTTTGAAGCTGCTGCTGAATCTTCAGCTGGGAAACTGATACGAGAAAAAACACTCGCCTTCCTCTTATCAACGGATTTGGATTGCGGTTCAGATGGGCCTATGGAGGATGGTTTGGTGCTAGCTGAAGATTCTGAACGGTGATGGCTACTGCTACTGCGATGGGTATGCTCGCGCTGATGGCGGTCCTCATGGCGGTGGCGGTCCTCATGGTGATGATCGTCATAATCTTCATACTTTTTCTTGGAAGAAGGGCGAGGAAGTTCAGGGTCACGCGATCGACGGTCTGGAGACAGCCTCTCAGGTCGGCGGGGGTAATCACGGTCTGGTGATGGCCTCTCAGGTCGGCGGTGGTGGTCAAGGTCTGGCGATGGCCTCTCAGGTCGGCGGCGGTGGTCAAGATCTGGCGATGGTCTCTCAGGTCGGCGGTGGTGATCAAGGTCTGGCGATGGCCTCTCACGTCGGCGGTGGTCAAGGTCTGGGGAAGGCCTCTCAGGTTGGCGGGGACGGCTGGAGCTCGACGGAGCTTTCTGTGGAATCATCAATGAACATATTAATATCAACTATTGCAAAAACAAATAAGAATCAAAAACACAATGCAGGTCTAAAGCCATAAAAAAATTAGGAGATTAACGGTTATTCAAAAAAAAAACATTGAAGGAAATACACGCACTACAAAAGGAGAGGATATTAAATTTTACAACAAATTTTTTTCTTGAGAAAGAAATTTACATCTCTTTATTTATTTATTTGAGAACTGAGAAATTTACAACTCTCAACAATAGGCTCTTCAATTCAGGTTGAGTTTTCAAAAAAGGATTCCTCAGTTTGAGTTCTTTTTTCTGCACTTCGTTTTTCTTTTAATTTTAAGAGGTGTAGCAAATATTTAAAATCAATACACCTTCGTACATTTCTAGGGACCAATCAAATGTCACTCCATTTTTGTTATTTTGGAGTCCTATCCACTTCATCATTTTTGTCAAATTAGGCGAACAGTTTCATCATAAAACGTTTTTGCAATAGCCAAATCTCGATGCTGTTGGGAAAAGGTTTATTTTAAAAAAAAAAGAGGGACGTAAATAAGGGAACAAAATCACTTATCATCCACCACATCCAATGAACAGAAACCAGAAAAACGAACTAACAAAAAATATAAACCAACATCTTAATGGGTACTGTTCTGATAGCTCCTAAATTGAGCTCCAGTCAACTGCCCGGCAACAAAAAACTGCCACAATATCGTTTGTCATCAAGCAACATCAGGCATTCGAAAGGAGCACCAACTACGGTAGGAAGTCATATATCCCCTTTTGCATTATTGGAAACTGATCTTCAATACGCTCAATTGTCAAGAACCCCCTATCAAGGTAATCCAAAGAAATGTGCCCTGTACTTGTGATCTTAGAAAATTATCCTAGAAATTCAGTCTCCAAGACTGTTGATTTTGTTACTTTACATGTAATAGAAAGATGAAACTGGAAACTAGCTGTTAGCTGCTTCTTGGCTAAACCAAGCCAAACTTTTCCCATAACACACAGCATGTCAACTAAAATATAGGGCCAAAATAGCCAAGAATATTTGATGATCAAGATACATACAGATTTGGGTTTCAGGGAAGGACCATCAGCAGTGCTCCCAACTTCCCTTGCATGTTCCCTGTCTTTAGGGAACTCCCTGCTGGAAATGACAAAAGATATTATCAAACTGTCATTAAAGGTAATCAAAAGAGTAGAAGCAGAAAAGACAATGACGGTTGACAATAATAACCTACTAAGGAGGATACAAATAGATTGTGTAAATTGATAGCAACATGACTTCCAAGTATATAAAACCTAAGTTATACAGAAGCACTTGGAGTAAACAGAGCGCAAAAACCTCAATACTCAAAGCTCAACCATTGAACGTAATTTCAATATCATCCACCAAGATGAAATGAACCATGACATGTAAATTCTTTGCAAAACCTCAATGCATAGTGCTCAGACCACTGAATGTGATTTAACATCACCCACGGAAAGAGCACCATAATGTGCTGAGAATTAACAAGAATGGTCAAATTACCTCTCTCCACGTCTCTCGCTCTCACGCTTCCTTCTCAGATCAGCCTTTCTAGCCTCAAATTCTTCTCTGCTCATGATTGGTGGGCCAGCATTAAATCCCATCCCAAAGTCTGCTGCAAGGTCCCTAAAATTTGGTGGCCAATTTTATCCAGTCAGGTACCGCTAATCTCAAATGCGCCAACAAATATGTATACAGATACATTAATATAAAAGTAGTTAAACTACAATATGTGACCATTATCAGAAACTGCAAGAGAGAGACCCGAAAACATGTGAAAATACTTATCAGAGATTAAACAGAGAGAAGTTTAGAATAAAATACAATGGAAGTTATACCTCTGCATTGGAGGACCGAAAGGCAGCATAAAACCTTGTCCGCCAAATGGATCATGTGGTACGACAGGAGGCGGCATAAAGGGCACATCTAGAGGACCCATCCCATAAGGATTGTATGGCATGGCACCAGGATAAGGGGCTCCAAACCCATCTAGTCCAGGTTGCATGCCTGTCCAATATGGATTATAGGCAGCAGGACCCATAGACATCATATAATTCTCAGCAGCAAGATCTTGAGCAGCTCTCCACTGCATCTCAGCAGCAGCAGCTGCAAGGGCATCCAGTAATTTAGGAACTAGGAAGTGTACAAAGCTCCATCAAGAACGCAGACATAATAATCAAAGTTTTATTCCAAAAAATCTATCAATATGTGCACAAGAGGAAGGGAAATGAGTGCATACGGTTCAAAGCCATTCGTGTTTTTTTCTTCTTCTTTTTCTTTCCTGAAAACACAAAAGAAGAATATCTAGATGAGAACACTTCCCGATCCAAGGGAAGTAAGAAACCAAAGCATCTCCTCTAGGGTGCTCGGTAAGAAAAAAACAATAACTTGCGAATCCAAAGAGGTAAAACGAAAGAGCACCATTACCTGCCTCCCCAACTACAGGCTTTTGCTGAACCTCTTCATCAGCCAATGGAGCACTTCCCGGGGATACAGGTTCTTTAACACTAACGGACTCATGTGTAGCTTCAGAAACATCTGCAACCTTCAAAGTTCTTCCTCTCTCCAACATTTGCTGAGGAGCACTGCCATTCTTACCCTCTTCTGCAATCTCCTGGGATTTAGAATTTTCCTCCTTAAGAGGTGGAGGTGGTGGTGGTGGTGGTGGTAACAGCTCACCCTTTGAAGCTGCAGATTGTGAAGGAGATGGAATCTTAGGTGGGAGAATGCGCGCTGACTCCATATCTGGAAGATATAACAACAAAGACAAGACCTGAGCCTAATAAAAACATCGAGCAGATAATGGACTTGAACGAGAGAACAGTTCAGAGAGTTAGAACTGGTACTGACCTTGAACTTGGAGAGCACTACCCCCATGCTCTGCACTGCTATTATTTGATTCCAGTATTCTATTAATTGTATCCCTCAAGGTCTTGTTGGGTAACAGGTCATCAGCAAGTATATTTGTGGCCCCACAGACACACACCGACTTCGAGATGATATGATCCCTTATGCCTGAGGATCACCCTTGCAATCAGTTTGAAATTCAAGAATACAGGCACACTAAAATTGAATAGTAAAAAACCAAATTTCACTGTAGAAGCTACAACACTACACCCACATTAAACAGAAAACTCCTTGCATTTATAGCAAAAACTCTTTAAACAACACAACACTCAAATTAAACAGCTTGCTCCTTACATTTATCGCAGAAACTGGTAAAACAACACTTGCTTGTTAACACTGCATCTTTCATTACTTCTTTACACAAGGGACAATGAAGCTCTGGTGGAAGATCACCAACGGAACGTATAGAAGGCATCCCTTCAACTTCTCTTTCAAAAGCAGCCCTGCAACGAGTGGGCCAGTCATATACATTCTTGTTACAAGCAAACTCAATAATACCAACATAACACGAAATCTTACTCATTGGGCTTTAAAACAGCACTGGCACCACTTGGTAAAGCATATGAACCATCTGGGGTTGCCATTAACATGGACTTCGGAATGCCAGTTGGAGGTTTCACTTTCCTAATGTCAAAATTGGGGTCACCATTTGTTGGACAGTGCTGAATGAAATGCCCTGTAATGATTTATGTCATAATTGGTTACAATGACTCAGCATGCTAATAGCAGATTTCATAGACAATGACCACTAGGTGGATGAAAAATAAGAAGCATACCAGGCACCTTACAGCGATGGCATACATAGCCTGGTGGTGGTGTTTTCCGTTCCAACCCACCACCCCAACCTGGAAGAGCAGCATTCAATTTGAGCATACATAAAAAAAAAACAGCTAAATATTCAATTACAATTAGTAAATCATCTAACCAGTAGCAACATGAAAATTTAATACATACTTAAAAGCATCTTGACAGTTATCCAACCACATGGCAAGTCAAAGAAACTTGACGACAAGATCTTAAAAAGTTTCAACCTACAATTGGCTTGATGAGTCTTTTGTCATTAAATTTTACAAAAGAATGAAATGAAGGCATGTGGGACTGAGACCGGCTTAAATGGAGTGACTTGGACAGTAAGGATTCATATAGCCCGTCAACTTGCTTCGGATCAACGCATAATTGTTGTAATGAAATGAAGCCATGGAAAGACTACTATGTCAAGCTAGCAAACACTTAAGTGAACAATGTCCTTCAACCCAACACGGATAGGAAGATTCATAGTAGATTAACAGACAAGTTAGAGCGAATTACCAAAACCTCGCCCACCACGTCCACCCATCATTCTTCCACCTTGACCTCGTCCATAACCTCTACCAGCACCAAAGCCATCAGAGGGTTGACTGCATTAACACAAGGACCATAAGAATCATTTTCATACCAATATCATCACATATTAGGAAATAGTAACAGCTAATGCAATAAAAACACAGAGTCAAGTGTGCATGAACATTTTAAAAAGGAGAAAAAGGAAGCCATCCCACCTCTGCCAATCTAAGGCTGGAGTGTCAATTAAAGCTTTGATCTTACTCTCCTCATCAGCTTTACTTGGAGGAGGAGCATCCTGCACTTGGTTGCTTGACTGGACTGGTAATGCTTCAGGAATAGCATACAGATCATTTCCAAATTCATCCCATTCAAGATCTTCAGGCTACAAAATGGAAATAGATATTTCAGTATGCTTAAAGATCACCAGTTGTTACGACTACAATCACCAAGACTCTCCTAATGCAGAGTGTTATGGGCGCTTACATATTTGGTGGCAGATGACTCCCCTCCCACAAAATTACTTCTAACTGCTTGAGCCTCCTCAGATCGGTATTCTACTTGGGGCCTGCAGAAAACACATCTTGGTCATATTCAAAATAGCTATTATGGCACAGCCCAAAAGACAAAAGCAGTATAAGGACATATGATTACCAATTCCCACCCTGGGGGGAGGGGGGAGGAAAAAGAAGCTTTGAACACCATATTCAACAAAATGCAAATGACGGCATCAGCATCTATTCTCCCCCCGTACACCTCCCCCTTTCAACCACCCTCCACACAGTGCAAAGGCCTATACCCACCCCACCACCATTCTACAATCTTCACAAGGGAAAGGAAAAAATAAAAGAAAAAGGATCTTGAGATTTAGTAAACACCCCACCACCAGCTCCAAGAAGAAGAGAAACCCACGCAACTCTTTTCTATGGAATAAACAAGGTAACCAATCCAGGTAAACTGTCTTTTCCCAAAGATTTTGAATTCTCAAAGATTAAGCAGTATTTGTATTCATAAACCTAACAGATGAGAGTCAAAAGGATCAAGATTAATACTCGTCTGGTTCTGTTACAGGTGCAGTTACTATGGGCATGCGAGGTCGTCCAGGAACGCGACGAATCAAAACACTAGTATTTTTGGGAATCAAGGTGTCCTCATCAAGATATTCTGAAATTGCAAAAAGAGAAGACAAAACACATAAAGCCCTGTAGAGTTCACAAACATATGGATGGAAATACAAATTATGCAATCAATTTGGCATGATCCACCATTCAAGCGCCTTAATCAAAACAAACTATTTGTCGAGCACTATATTCCTTACAAAGGATCAACTAGACCATGAGATTTGCTGTGTGACATCAACCTTGAGTGAAATAGGCTCTTTACATAATACCTTTTTCCTCGGCTAGCACTAGTAAGGTACATATTGTGTGCAAGGTAGTACATTACATAGTAGTATTGGTTAAGTTCTTCAACGACTACTATCAAATAACCAAGTTTAAGGTAAATGCTACACAGGACGATATGGTACTAGCTCAAGTGTTACAAACCCTAAAACTAAAACATTAACGAATAGACAACTCTCCTTTTAAATCAGTATAATTATGTAAGCCAACCCATTAAGATGAGATGCCAGAATTATATTTCACCAAAGAGAATGAGAACTACAATCAGACATTTTTACAATGCAAAGGTCCTTTAAAGAGTCAATGCATCATCCTTCTCATTTCAAAGGCATAAATTAGCAACTCAAAATTAAATCGAATCACTGTGATCATCTTCTTGACTGTTAAAAGCCACTTCTTTTTTTTGAAAATGCTTGAATATAAACAGCACATACTAAAGTACCTAAATGTATTGATAGCAGAGAGTTGATAATTAAATCAACCAAAATAACTCCCCGAGAAACACCTCCAGAACAATGCCTGAGTTACACTAAACCCCAAGGTCAATGTCACACAACAACTTGCGCAATACTACTAGAAATGCAACTAGGAATGCACGAAAATGACTAACTATATTGAAGCTAACCAACCTTCGTTAGACTGGGCGTTGGTGACAACGAGGTCAAAATCTGTACCCCTGCCCAGATGCTTGGATTCAAATATTTTTTCTTTCAGGTTACCAACAGTAATAAAGTGACCGTCAATTGGAATTGAATCATAATCTTTCGCACTTTTAAACTTAAAATAAACTGACATAGCTCTTTTTTTCTTAAAATTCCTTTTTTTCCTCAAACAATCAATATAACAACAAAGAGGCCGATCAAAAAATTATAATAGGCCTGATATTGAACTCAAAGAAAATTGATATAAAGTACAAAAATATTAAAAGCTCTTTTTTCTAGCTCACAACTTCTCTTCAATAACTCAGGAAAATCAGTCAAACCAAATTCCTCCAATAGATTAGTTGAACATCCTCCACGAGCAAAATAATCCGCAAGCTTCACTCAGCAGCAATATCTAAAGGCGTGCTTATTAACCAAAATCAAACCACTGCTACCGCTACTCCTTCGACTGGGGACGACCTCGATCCGATCTATCAAATCACGCCGAACGTCTCTCTTAGCGTACACACTTGAGGAGGTTGATGATTCTATCCGATAAACTCAGGAGCTGATTCTATGGGTTTATAGAACACCGGATTCTTCAGATCGATTGAATTGAATTCTCAATCAGCGCCGACAGACCGAACATAAACCTTCAATTCTTCTGAGAACAGGAGAGTTTTCTCTACCGGAAAACGTCAATTCCACTTCGCGCACGGTGAACTCATCGGAAAATCCGTTGAATTCCGAAGCGAATCGAACGGAAAACTGAAGAGAAAGCCAAAAGAGTAAAGCTTTATGGGGGGGTGTCGGAGCTAGGGTTTCCACGGATGAGAAACTGATTGATTGTCGGGGTGAATTTGGGGATGAATTCCAGGTTTTATACAATTCAATAAAGATCTCTGTTACAGATTAGTCCATGTAGGTTTACTATTTTCAATTTAAGCCCCAAATTTTTGTGGAGGCAGTTGTTTTGAATAAAAAATCCACATTATTTAATTTCGTTTTAGTAGCAAATTGTTTTCTTATTATTTATTTTAATTTAATTAATTAATTTAGTTAATTATTCTCTAGTGTATCTATATCTATTTGTTTTCTTATTTATGATTTATTGATATATTTTTAAGGTGTTTTCTTCATAGTCAATTACTTAACTAATTCTTTTGCTTCTTTGTTGACTGATTCAAAAAAATTATAGTGCATTCTACTAATACGATATATATGTAAGTAGTTCTATTTTTCTGACTATGAAGAAAATTAGTTATATATATGTTATGACCCTCAAGGTCATTTTCTTAGTTTTTCTATAGCTATCATAAGTTATTTATGATTTATTGGGATGGTCACCGGGCAATTCGTTAAGTTTTTATGCAAGTTTCCGAGTTTTGAAGCTTCAAAAGTCTAAATGGATGTTTGGTTGAGGTCCCAAGGCTTCCAAGCTCGTTTCAAGCTACCTTGTGATTTTTTTGCTAAAATGAAGCATTGGGTGTGAGATTTATCTTTCTTCAAGATGACTTTCGTTAGAAGTTTCAATAGCTTCATTGAGTCTGAAATAACGAATCTGATTAGGTATCGTATTCAATTTACGTTCATGGAATTATGAATAAATCCTGAGTGCCTACCCGATATTTGGGATTTTAATCCAAGTCTACTGATGCACCAACTGTTAATGCAGCTGCTTTCGTAGAGCCTGACTCACTTTGGCAAAGCCACTTTCAACTCAGTTGACCTTTGCTCTTGCAGAGCTTGATCGCTCTTGCGGTCTTGTTCCAACGGAGTAGGATCCACTCATGCAGAGCTGACTAACCATGTTAACCATTGCTATTGGATAGCTTTTTGGCATCAATAATGTTGCCCCAACGACCTTTGGTTCACCGAAATGATGATCGCTAATAGTTATATATATTTGTCTCTTCTCTTCATCCTTCTATTGAAATGAACAAGAGTTGGAGTTCAGTTCTAGGGCAATTTCTTTGAAATTGTGGTGTTTGAGTTGGGATTAGCTTCAGAAAGCTATTGGAGTCGTTTTCACGCTTCGAAATCCGTCTTCGTATGGTTTGTAGAGGGTAGAGTATACACATACCTTATCATCATCTCATAGAGGTAGATAACTTGCCTCTGAAAGACCCTCAACTCAAATGTATCAAAACCTTAGTAAATGAAGAAGAAAACAAAACAACTAGTAAGAACGATAATGTCAAGTCTACAAAAAATTAAGAAACAATAACTACATATAGCAAGAACTACAAGGGTACGACTAGTGCTATGACAAGCACTAACAAGCCTAAACTTTCGCAAGGTAAGACAAAACTCTACCTCTTCTAACCTTCTATCCTAATACGCGACCTCTACTCCTTTCTATTTAGAGTTATGTCATCGATAATATGAAGTCGCATCATGTCTTATTTTATCACCTCTAGCCTTCTACATACTCTTTACAACCAATCTCTCGCACCTCTTAACTAGAACGTCTATGATAGCATACCTCCGTTAAAGAGTTTAGATAAAACTTTAAAATCAAGTTTTGTATCTTTTGTATTAAATCAAACTAATTAAACTATTGATCATCAACAAAACTATTATGAACTATGATGTATTCATAATATATAATAAAATAATTATTTTATTTATTGTTAACGAATATATAAAGTAAAAATTGAACAATCGTTAACATATAAAGTAAAAATTGAACAATTAAAAATGAACGGAGATACGTAATATTTTATTTCCAGCAAACACACTTGTCATCCTTGAGCCGATCTGACTTTGGCAGCTCTAACTTCTGGTAGTCTGCCTCAGCAAACTGTGACACGATATCACGTTTACAGCTCGAAGAGAAAAGCAGAGTACTGTAAAAAGCGAAAGGGGGGAGAATTGGGATTTGGGAAGAGCAGAAAATGGGAAACTCTCAGTCGAATTCCACGAATCCACGCTTTGATTTAGCCAAGAGGCAATTTCTCTCTAACACTAAGCAATGGTTACACAGTTGAATATTATTTGATTCAATTTTGAACTCAAACTGCATATGTTAATTCTTTTTGTAGAGCTTTCACAGAGAGGAAATTGGAAGACCTGAAATCCTTGTTCGATTCACTAGCTGCACAATCACAGAGCAATGGAAAATACGTTTCTCCTTCTGTTTTCAAGGTACTTTTTGTTAATTTTCTGTATTGTCTGGTTATTTTTGGGGTTTTTACAATGAAATTGGTAATTGGGTGTTTGTGCATTATAGGCGTATATTGGAGTTGAAGGGCCGTTGGGCGATAGAATGTTCGATTTGGTCACCCAGAAGCGTAAGGATCAAAAGCTTACATTTGAGGACCTTGTGATTGCTAAAGTAAGTATTTTTGGTCTCATTCCACTGCCCGTTGAACTAGTTACCCTAAAGTTTTCTCATTTGTTGACTTGATGGTATACAAAGGCCTTTATTGATTGAAGAATTAACCCGAATATCTCCCATCTCAACCCCATAAACTTAAAATAGCCTGCAGCTGTATAATTTATATATAATCCATGCATAATATTTGTAATCTATGTATACCGGCTAGGAAAAGTAAACCGTGAATCCGACCGGCTATTTGGGTAAAGATCCTTTTTTTTTATCCGTTTTTCTAATAGCTTTTCTAGTTATATAATTTAAAATGAAATTTATATGGGTTAGTATTTGAATTCACTCCATCCATAGTATTGTATGTTGATGGATTATTTAAGTTGCACGCAAGCTGGCCGAACACCATGTCCATTAAGGACAACCTGGTGCACTAAGCTCCCTCTATGGATGGGTTCATGTGAAGGACCAAACGGTAGTAGGTTTATTGTATGCAGACTTGCATTTATTCAAGAGGCTGTTTCCACGGCTTAAACCTATGGCCAATATTATAAAAGAACATTTTCCTACACCACTTCATGACTTTTCGGGTACAAGATCAAGTGTACTTGTATCATATGATCCACCTTCATTATTGTCACATCTTACAGTTGTTGTAATAATAGGACGAACGATTTCCATACTTTGCCCTTCACTCTATAAGAATAACAACATCATGAACATTATTGAGTAGTAACAACCTCAATATACAAGGAACTAGATAGATGTTATTACATTGTATTTGAAAAATAAGTACATCTACAATATGAAAACTACATATGAGTTTTCTACGTATGCTCGCAGAATACATCTAGTTCACAGTAAGGTTGAAAAAAGCGGGTTGTGTTAGCCCAGATAAGTTCAGGATTAGGGTAAAGAAATAATCAATTGTGATGAAGCCTTTATCCTCATGGTTGTTCTATCCTTAGCATGATATATTGGCTACTGGGTTTGGCATTAAATAGGCTAGAGCTTCCATTCTATTGCCTCCTGGTATTGAGGATTATAAGCAAGGATTCTCACATCATGCATGGGTGTGGGTAAAGAAATTAGTTCCACCAAAACAATATGTGGATATGATGGTAGATGAGAAAGGATTCCCCATCATAGTGGATATATAGAGTAATATGTTTGTCCAAGAGAGTCTATTTCGAATAGGTAGTTGGAACATAGGTTGATTTATAAGGAAGTCAAATAATCTTTTCTGATAGGTATGAAGAAGAAAATGAAATCAATGTCTACATTAAACAGGGCTAGAGGAGAACAACTATGTTGCATGTCAATAAAGAGGCTTGGTGGAAAGAAAGGAATGGAAGGTGCTTTGAAGGGAGGACTAGCAGTTCCCAGATGATCAAGATGAGATGCCTTAGTCTTTTGTTTTTTTGGTGTAAGCAAGATTTAGTGGGGGAAGTAGATAGTTTAGTGGAGTTTATAGGCCAATTGTAAAGTTTTGAAAATTTGTTTTTGGATTTGAGAATGATGGCACCCCCTGGGGGTTTGTAAATCCCTGCTTATCAATTTCTTGATGAGTTTCTTTTGTGTGAATACAAAGTTACCTATTTCAAAAAAAAAAAAGAGGCTTTGTGGAAAGGAGAGAAGGTTAAAGAGATGAACAAAACAAGCTATAATTTGTGGTATTTTGGTTTGTGAGAGATCAAAGTAGGCACGGGGTAGAAATCATGTAGAACCAGGACATAAAGATAAAGTTGCAGAAGTTAAAAACATGTTGATAGGATTATCTTAGTGTGGGAAAGAAAACAAAAAGTATCGTTAGTGCATAGGCTTCACAAATAGAATTAGATGAGGAAACATAAACTAAATTTTAAAAATATAGATCCCCATTGGTACAAGGGGTTCTAGGTGACCAACAAATGTTTGTACAAGGAGATTTGAATGGATATGTGGTTAGATATGTGACACTTAAACTGAATACATAACAAATATTGTGGTACAAGCAATGAAGAAGGGAATGTTTTAAAGTTTGCATTAGCTTGTTATCTCTATTTTTAGGCTTTCAGCTAAGACCTACTTCGAAGAAAGAGAACAACATTTGATGGTATTTAAGAGAGGAAGCAGCAATAGCCAAATAAACTTCATTCTTACTAAAGGAAGTGACAATTCCACATTTAAGGACAGCAATGTTATACCATGAGAAGACCTAGTCCTAACCATCCAAAGTAGACTGGTGCTCTTGCATGTAAAGCGAAAGAATGGAGTGAAAATGGAAAAGAGAAATATGCAACCAGATTTTAATATGCACACTAAAAGGTTTAAACCACAAAACATTCAAGGACAAGCTATTGGAGGATGGAGCATGGGACTTAGAAGTTGAGATAAGATCTGCAGAAGTAAATGCAAGTTACATCTTTATTCTTTACTGCATTTGAGTGCAAATTCCATTTTTATTAGATTGTATGCCAAGCTAGTGCATATAGGACCTCCAAAAGAATGAAGAGTGATAAGCATGGAAGAGATGTAGAG